AATTATGTCCCCACTGGATGCAACAAATGCCTCGTTTATAATGGGTTTTAATGTTTTTGTCTCGTTGCTCCAGCCGTACAGGGCATCATCACAGTATGGTAAATGGCGTAACATTTCCGTCACACACTTGAGGTATTCGGCCAATCACAACGCTCCCCCATTTCAACCCTGATGGCATCTAGAGGGGTTGACCTTATTGCTCCACAGCAGATTCTAAGTGCTCTAGACTGTGTTGTCCAGTTTCTTTAATTCTGATTTTGCTGCAGCACCATACACTGCACACCCATAGTCTATACTAGAACGTATTAAGGCTTGATATACATGTAACAGTGCACTTTTTCTTGCTCCCCATTCATACTTAGCTATTGAAGTCATGAAATTTATTACTCCTTTGCATTTGTTTTCAATTTTCTTAATATGTCTCTTCCAAGTTAATTTTTCATCAAATATTAATCCAAGATATTTGAACTCTGTCACTCTTTCTAACAATTGATCATATAATTTATTTTTCTTTGTAAAAACCATATACTGTAATTTATCTACCCTTAAAGCATGCATACTTGTATGGTACTAATATGCTCCCTTTTAGGGGTATAGTTGCACCTTTGAGGTTACTGCCCCAGTAAAGGGCTAAAATACAATTATAGTATATTTTATTTCTGACAGTGTAAGCAAAAAAGGCCTATTAAATGTTAAAAACATGGCTTTAGAATCTAATATTAAGTGAGTATAATTACTGATTATGTTCTTTTAGTAATTTAAAAGATCAGTTTAGTTTATAGATATCGGTATCGATATCAACGATACTGGGCTTGAAAATATCGGTATCGGATCGAAAATAAAATAAGAGTCATCGCCCATCCCTAGTAGTGATATCCCTAAACCGGCCTGAACCTTGTTTTGAAGTTTAAAGGCTCCTTTGAGCTAAATCTGCACAGGACCAATCACCGGTGATCACTGCGAGATGCATGCTGGTTAGAAATGTGAGCAACAGAACGACTTGCTGACGACACAGTTTATGCTAAAATGTTTGATTTTTATATCTGATATCATGTGATTATGTGTTTAATTATGTGTGAATACTCCCAAACACTGTGCGTAAAGAATAATATGTGGAATCCATTTAAAGCTTCTCTGATGTTAATAGGGAGAGATTTAATTTACATCTAATATATATATCCAGCAACAGCTATAACATTTCTCTGTGTACAACCATACAAAAACCAATATAAATATATTATTTTATAGTGTAAGACCATGGCTGGGATGAACATCAAGACACAATCTTTTTTTTGCTTATACATCATTTAAACATTATGCTGTGTTTTAATGCATAAGTTAAAATCAGTTCTTGGTGACTATGGTATTTATGATAATTCATCATAATTAACCTATTATAATTTACGTGTTAAATAAAGTACTATTTATTATCAGGAAATAATCAAAAATGGATGGAGAAATAATCTGCCTGAGTTGTAATTACTACATATGTACTCCAGGTGGCTGCAATGTCCACACTTTCTGTTATGAACGGTTTCTGTTCTGCACTTTTAACTATCCGAGGGTGTGAAAACACACATTTAATTAATTAATTAAATAATAATAATAACATAACAACAACAACAAATAAAGGAAACAAATTACATGTATATGTAATATAAGTAAATATTAAGATGTAATTGGATGTAATAAAGTATAATACAATAAAACAGTCATTAAAATAACCATAAATAATAACAACAACAACAACAACAACAATAAAAGGAAAAATTACATGTATATGAAATATAGGTAAATATTAAGATGTAATTGGATGTAAAGAAAAAAAAGCATAATACAATAAAACAGTAATTAAAATAACCATAAATAATAATAATTAGGAACACATTTTAACAATATGATTTTAATCATATTGAATTTTAAGACGTGCAGCTGACGCATGACGTCTTTCCGGTTCTGCCATTTTGCGGTTGCGGATCGGTCTCGAGCTGCTGGTGCGTTTCTTACCGAACACCGATAATAAAGTCTAATAAAGATAATAAAACCCAGTTAAACCGGTAAAATGTCAGATTTTGACAGCAACCCCTTCGCGGACCCGGACTTCAGCAACCCGTTTCAGGTAACGTTAATGTCATTTCAGCGCTGTTTTTATTATAGTGACTCGGCGCACCGCTTTTTGTGTGTTTTTACAGATAAAGTCAATACATTTTCTAGTCATTTCCATTAACGTTACGTCTGTATATAATAAAGTCATTTAATCCTATTATCTTAAGTGAAAAACACAGAACCTTGTTTTAACCAGTCAGTTGTGTGTAAATATGTCATTATTGACTCTTTAGTTTTGTTTGTTAGCTTTTATTATTATTATTATTTTTCTGAATCGGATTATGTTGCCCAGTTTTATGTTTAGTCAGTCCAAAACAAACCTTTAATGCACTATAAATTACATTTGACCACATCAACATATTCTCTGCAATGGCTTTATTATAATTATCAAGACGAAGGAGTCTTTAATTCTGGGTTTGGTTTCTAACCTTGGCTTTATATCATATTTTTAGAGTGTGTTATCTAGTAAATTATCTGCTGTTATTGAAGCTGGCAGTGTGAGAAATGAATATGATCCCTTTATAGTCTGTGTTCACCTTTACACAGGGCTGAGTGATTATGTTTAGGGCCAGTAAAGGATGATGATGATGATAAGTGTGTGTGTGTGTGTGTGTGTG